AAATTATTACTCCAACAATTGAAATTGGAATAGAAATTATTGCTCCAATAATTGAAGATAAAATAGAAATTATCACTCCAATAATTGAAATTGGTACGGAAATTATCGCTCCAATAATTGAAGTTATTACTCCAGTAAATGTAGTAATTGTCTGTCTAAAAACTGATATTATTGAAGATAGAGTAGAAGTTATCGCTCCAGTAAATGTAGTTATTATATGTCCAAATTTGGATATTATTGAATATCGAGTAGAAAGCATCTCTCCATTAATTGAGTATAAAGATAATTTTAATTTCTCGGTAATTTGTGAAATTAAAGAAGTAATGGAAAATGATTTTGAAGATAAATTATAAAATAATTGCTTCCCAATATTCAAATTTGTCTCTAAAGCAATCAATATTGATATAATTAAAGTGAAAATTAATATATTTTTGATAATTTGTATCATGAATCTATCATTTATTTGGTCGATCTTTGGATTAGTATTGTGTTGTATTATCTCTTTTGTTTTATGTTTTTTAACTTTCTTTTCATTTTTTTCAAATGAATCGAGGCCATCAATTGATTTTATATTCTTCTTTTGCTTGTAATTTTGAACGTATTTTGCGATTAAATTTTTGAGAGCGTAATTTGGTATAGCATCTTCAAATTCCATTGGTCTTCTGGTAACTGGTGATATGGGGTTAATTTCTAGTGCTTGCTCTATAGCATGTCGTTCATATGTTTGACCATCTGGCATGATAACTGGATCTATCATGATTGAGAGTGTGATAGGACATTTATATTCTGGTGGTGCATTTTCATCAAGTTCTGTTATCGGATCCCATGATTCTGTTTCCATCATAAGTTTTGCTCAAGATACAATTATCAGATATGAAAAATATATCATTTTTATTCCTAAAAATTTATGTTTGAAAAAGTTAAAAATTTACTTTTGAAAAAGTCAAAATAGGCAAATTTGATTTGATAATTATTAAATTGAAGAAAAATCATAAAAGGTAATGCGATATTAAAGAAATAAAATACATTAATATTGTTTTGTAAATACATAAAATATTATATTTCTTTTTTTATTTAAAATGAATAATTAAATATTATGATCTTAATAATTTGCCAATGCTGCTATTCTTGTTAATAAAGATTTTACTGTTGCCTCAAGTGTGGCTAATTTGTTTTTAATTCTTCCTTTTCTGCTTTTAATTCTTCTAGTTATATCTTCAATTATTAGATCTAGATTTTATTACATATAATTCATTGTTAAATTATTAATATATAAGGCCTTTTAACTTATGCATCAAGCGAATCAAGTGAGGAAAAACCTTCATAAAAAAGATGATTAATATTTTTCCTATGAGAATCCTAAATATCTTCGTCATCAAAATCATTAGCATTTAACTCAGAAATAACTTTACCAGTAATGAGGTAATATACAAATGATTTTACAATCTAGATCATCATGATTGTATATCAAATCATATGATTTGAAAAAGTCCAATGGCTCAAATTGAAAGTTTGTTGAATTGAGTATTATAGATAAATCATCATTTGGATTTTTGGAAAAAATTAACGGTTTAATTGATGAAGCTTTTTCATCGTTTCTGATTATTTCATATCCGCTTTTATAAATGAAAAATAAAAACAAAAGCATTATGAGTTTACTGTCAGGCTTGATTTGTTCTTATAAATCGATTGATTCTTTAATGTTTCTATTTTTTTTCATCGAAATATAAAATTCTTGAGTAGTTATAAATCATTAAGCATATTTCCTTTTTTAAAATATTCTATTGCCAATGGTATATTTTGATCAACACCAACACCATTTTTATAAATTACTCCAAGATTATTTTTTTTTCCAATGGAATATTCATATTTGAAGATTCTTTGAAATAATAAATAGCTTTCTTTATATCACGCTGAAAATATTTTCCTTCATAATAAACCGAACTTAATACGCATTGTGCTGGACGAGAGCCATATTTCGCTGCCATTTGCCAATAGAAAAATGCTTGTTTGAAGTTACTCATATTTATCTTTTGTCTTTTTCTAATTATCTCTCAGAAATGCTTTCAATTTTTTATATTATCAATGTATATGCAATGTCTAGTGCACTTTCAACAGAAGAAAATAATGATGATATATCATCAAGAACAAACATTAACTCTACACATAACTTAAATAATCTATTCTACAAAAACTCATTTTACTCACGAAGAGATCAATGCTTATTTTAATAATGTAAAAAAAAATTGTTAATAAAAATCTCTTCTCAATCCTCATAATTATTTCACCATACTTGTTTGTTTCCTATTGATATCAAATGTTAATTATACCAAAATAAAATCTCAAAATCAATTTATTCATTGCGAAATAAAGAAGTTATACCAAATATAATACATCAAATAGATCTTTTTTTAGTAAAATCATCAAATATTTAAATGAAATTCACATTTGAAAACATGTAGAAAATTTATTTTTTAATTGATCCATAGAATTCAATTTCTGACAACAATAAAAAATTAGTATTATCACAAGATTTGATTGGTTTGAAACGAATGAATTGGTAGAATTGGTTGTTTATATTTTTGCATGTAAATGTATTACTTTTACTATATGCATTAAGGCTAGAGTCATTTTCTTTTGAATCAATCAAACACCAGTTTTGTTCATCATTTGATCCTTCAATTCGCCATGTGCTTGGTTGGCCGTTTGTTGCACCTCTTTTTTGTGAAGGAACAGACAAATAATACTTTGAAATATTGATTTTCTTTTGTTGAAAATCAAAAATCATGTAGCCACCTCCATCATCATTCTTTACTCTGTAGTACGTATCTTTTGAGTTATCGAACAATGAATCAACTGAATCTCCATCATTTTTAGGAGAAGATTTATAATTGATGACTTTTGATGAATAAATGTTGCTGCTTTTATTTATTTCGCTTAAGAAATGAAAAATCCCTTGTTCACATTTAATTGAATTAGATTCCACTCTTGGATTGTTCATTTCATTATTCTTATAAGGATCAATAATCAAGCGACGACATATTGATGACCACATCAAATTGTGAACTGTTACTTGATCATTGTCAATCATTTCAATGAGTTTTTTAACTTTTTCAACAGACAGATATCGAATCTCAATGTAATCGAAGAGAAAGAAAAATTCAGAGCCAAGTGAACAAACGATATCAAAAAGGCAGTCTTCACTCTCAATTTTAAGTTTTTCTGATGAAAAAATACGTTCCAATTCATCGCGATTGAATGATTTCAATTTCTCAATTTTTTCTTCGGTTTCTTTGAAAATTTCATAAAAATGTGCTGCAATAAATTCAATTACTTTTGAGCTCATTTTATTGTTGCCAAGATGACGATAGACTTTCAATTTCTCTAGAAAATTCGTTTCACTAATTTCTTTTGAATTGCTCTCAAAAAGTTGTGAAAAACTTGAATCAATCATTTCGTCATTTTCAAGTAAATTTCCAATCTCAAAAAGGAGTCTAGCATTCTTACCAATAATATTATTGGCTTTTTCATTTATCTTTTCAAAAAGAATCGGTTTACCTTCAACTAATTTTTTTAATTTTGTGAGAAAGTCGGTTTCTTTAATGTCATTTTGAAGTTCACTGACACTAGAATAAAGTATTAGGTTTTTGGGGATATCTATTGTGAATTTTGTTAATGTTGGATCACTCCGAAGAATTCTTGAGATTTTTCGCGAAAGAAAAGAGGCAGCAAATCTTGAACAATGAATTGTTTTATCAAATATTTTAATTTCAAAATCGTCTTCGAATCCTGATTCTTTAATGTGCTTTAATGACTTAGATGTCAAGTAGAATTCCATTTATAAAAATGAAACTTTTTGAATGATTTACTATATGTATTAAAATTTTCAAATATTCATGAATTATTATTTTATGAATTATTAGTTTTATATTATTGATATAAAAACATGTATTTGGCCTTTTTTTGACCATAACTCCTCCGGGCATTTGTCATTGTTTTGATGAGAATTTCTGATGAAAAAAAGAAAATTTTATCTTTTTATTTTTTATTTTTTTAAACAATGAATGATTGGGCAAATATCAATTTAAATAGCTCAAATTCAGACGAGAATGAAGATTCACCTAATATCTGGGGATCTGAAGACGATTTGCCAGACGATTGGATGGATGCGCCAGATCCAGAAGAAGTAGCTATAAAGAAAAAAGAGGAAGAAGAAAGAATCAGAAAAGAAAAGGAAGAAGCTATTGAAGCAGAAAAAAAGAGAAAGCAAGCAATCCGAGAAGAAAAAATCAGAAAGAAAAAATTACTCTTTGACAATGAAGACGCAAGTAATTATGATGACAATCTTTTTGAAGTTACAAAGGAACAAAAAGAAATTGCTGACTTTCATAATGCTCTTGATGCATTTGGCGAACTTGACATGAACAAAGCAGACACAGATAAAATAGACATTGGTACTTATAATCCTGATACAGTTGCACAATTTAATGCATTTGCAATAGCAATAGAAAGCAAAATAAAACAAATATTTCCTGAAATTTTACGGGATAACAAAAAGAAAAATGAATATGAGCAGCTTAAATCAATTCAAAACAACAGCATTGTCAAGATGATAGAATATCTCATTACTGCTTTATGTGATAATTATAAAAGCGCTTTTCTTGAAGATTTGTACAAGCATATGAATGATCTCTATAATAAAAAACTTGATGAATCTAAAAAAATTCAAGGATATAAGAAGAAAACAAAACAACAAAAAGGTGCTTTCTTCAATGCTGATAAAAGCAATGATTTTGATGATTCATCAATATAATTAAAGCAAACTTTAATTTCAATCTAAAAATTTTTTAAAAAAATTAATCATTTCCAAATATTATTTCTGCACTTTTTGATCAAAGATGGTTTTATTGATTGAAATAATACATAATTTATAAGAAGTATACACTTTTTATTGCTTAGGCATATCAAATATGTTAAAAGTGTTAAAAAATGCAAAAAAATACCCCTGATGGGATTCGAACCCATTCCAAATGATTCGTAGTCACACATGCTATCCTTTACACCACAGGGGCTATTGATATATAGTTATAAATATAATATTTATTTTAATATAAATGAAATAAAAAAATAATTGATTTATCAATTTGCAAATTTTGGAAAATATATTAATGTAAACAAACATTTAAAATTTCTGAAAATAGTGAAAAGCCAATATGTCAATAAAATTGAGAGAAAAGTGCAGGGCATGGCAGGTCCTATAGTCCTGGACTTTTAACAAGCTTGTTATAAAAAAATAATTTCATAGCAAAAGCCAACATTTTGAGACTAAGTAAAACAAAATTGAAAAAAGAAGTATTGTGAGAAACGGTTTGATTTCTGGTTGAAAATAATCACAATAGTTCTTTCTGACATATTCATCACTCGTAATTATTGAAAAAAAGGATTCATCAATTATCACTATTTTTTCTTCAAGAAGAAATAGAAGGATTCTTTCGTTGTCTTTGAAAATTTGGATTATATATTAAATTGAATAAAAAACTTTCGATATCACAAAAAGGGCCCGACTTGAATAAAAATTGAATTCATTCAATTTTGAATCTTTTTTTGCAGTTTATATTCAATTTAAAATTTGGGCTGGACTTGAATGTCGCACCCTGTATAAATTATTTTTATTGTTTGATTTTTCGATAAGCTGGTTATATTTATCAAATCCTCCAACAACGACACTTTGCGAGTATTTGATATATCGATTATTTTTAATATTTTCTTTCGATTTTGGATCAAAAATTCTCATACAAATATGCTTAAAAGCAGTTCTTTGAATTTGTCTTCACTCAGAGATGAAATTTCAGAATTGAATCTTCTCGGGCCAATTTCAAATTTCAAAGTTTAAATATATAAATTTTATTATATTGCATTTTGGCATAGTCCTTTTTAATCCTTTCTAAATTCATATTTACAAATGAAATAGTATTATCATGTAACATCTTCAGTAAATCCTCAAAACATAATAGAGAATGGGTTTAATCTAGGAATTCAATATGCTCAAAAGATCCAAAAGATGCAATGAAGAAAGCTCAATCACACATATTGAATTCTTTAATCATTGCTAATTTAACCGTTGGAAGAATGAAAATTGAGGAATATGCTCATAATAATTAAAATTTAAAAATAATAAATCAATTAGGATATGATTCAGTACAAATGACTCATTGTAAAATTGGGCCAGAGATATGCGTTTATGAATTTCATAGTAGGCTTGTTATTTTGATATCAATTATCAGGTTTGGCACTTTTTTTAACTCAGATAATCGATAATAAAATGCTATCGATTGGAACTTTTAATTGATTAAATCGATTATCAAGTATGAAATGTGATACAAAAAAAATATGCTTTTGATATCGAATCTTGATTAATCGAAATTAATACCTGAAAAAACCATTAAAAATAGTATTTTAATGGCATAAAATAAATATATTCTAACTTATTATGTAAAAGAATCATCTTTTATTAAATTTTATAACGGATATGTTAAGTAAACAGTTAAAAAAGTTTACAAAATATTAATACGTTAAAAAATTTTAAATATTGATAATAGATCTTTTATATTTATTCATTATTGATATCAGAGATTAATTTTTTGATTTGATATTGATATCAGAAAAATGGATCAATTATCGATATCGAAAATCGAGACTTAACAAGCCTATTTCATAGAATAGAAATACTTGGAGTTGGTCAATGGAATGACCAAAGTATTGAAATCAAAGAATTTACACACAACAATTTAACTTAGAAGTTAACTTTATTACTGATATATATAGTCATTGCTTTGATGAAAGAGCACTTCTAATGATACAAAAATTAATATAAAAATAAAAAAGATTTAAATTAATTTTATTTAATTGAAATAATTTGTATTTTGCGTAAAAAACAAATTCATTTATTTGAGGGAGTCTGTATATGCTTTTACTTTGTTTGTATCAACACCATCAAGATAATATTCTGGATCATATACGAGTTTCTGGAAGAGTTGTTCAAGAGTAAGTCTATCAGAAGGTTTTAAGGACCAGCATTGTTCTATCAATGTTTGTATTGACTTCTTAATAGGTGCTTTTAATTCTGGACGTTTTCCTTCAGCAGCTAATTTATAGAATTAGAAAGAGGAATAAAAATTCTTATAATTTTATTTATCCGTTAAATTTTTATTAATAACATTAAAGTACATTTAATGAAAACTGGTTCATCAATTCATAGATACAACCAAAAGATGATAATAATTTTAATCCAAATAAAACATTTTCTTTTTTGTTAATTAAAGAGCTAGCAATTTTTTGAACCAGATTCTTTTCAATGTCTGATTCATTCTTATAATCGTTTAACATTAATACATGGTAAGCATCTTTATTTCTTCCATAATTAGAAAGAATTTCCGCAGCTGAATAAATATTCTTTGTAATTAATAAAATATCAACAGCTTCGTTAACCAAATTATTAGATAATAAATTGTCCACCACAAGTTGAACAGATTCTGACTTATTTGAATGTGAATTATACAAAGCAGCAAGCATCATATTATTTAAGTATTCTTTATCGCTTGGATCGGTTTTCAGCAACAAATCTCTTGCTTTTTCCAAATATCCAAGTTTTAAGAACGTTTTTGACGATAAAGAATTGAAAGGTTCATGTAAAGATAAAATTTGATTCAACAATTCGACACTATTTCTCAAAGAAACAGAAAGATTATTAGCATTTGTCGAAAATATTTGATTAATCAAATTATTTTCATTCTTTTTGACATCATCTTTGATCATCTTCGTCAACGACGTGTAAAAGAAAGGAGGCGATGAAGGAGAAAAGTCGCCTGAGACGTTAATTGCAATCAATTTGTTATAATTTAAAAGACGAAGAAGAAAACCTTCTTTAGAAAATTGTTTCATATATTTAATGTTTTCTGCAATTGTTGTCACTGTTGCATTGTTGTTCGAAACAAGAATTCCTTGATTGTTGGTGTCAAGAATTGCATATGACTTCTTCGAGCATGAAGAAATCTGCTTGATTGGTCCAAGTCTTTTCTTCTCATAAATAACTTTTATGTCTTTTATATTTATGTCCTTCATTGATGAAATTCCAGCAAGTTTCTTCTTGGTGATTAAAAAGGCGCTTCCTTTCTCTGTTCCGATGTAAATTCCACGGTTTTGCCAAGAGATGAAAGTTGCCCTGAATCCCAACGATGAATAAATTTGGTTCACAAATTTATTCTCGCTCAAGTCGAAGAAGAAGAGAATGTTCTTTGATGCAAAAACAACTTGGTCGCCTTTTGGTGAAATGCTTCCAATTAACGAGTACGAATCCTTCTTGATTTTGTCACTGAAGTCGATTGAGTTGATGATTTCAAGATTGGATTCGGTATCAAGGAAGTGAACTTGCTTACTACTCAATATCAAGACGATCATTTTGTAACTTTTTGAGAAGAAAACTTGTGTGATGCTGATGCTTTTGTTGTCGAACTTTTTCAATAGTGGCTCTGTCACTTTTCGTGTCTTTAAATCAATCAAGTAAAGTGACTTCTTGCACCATGCAACAAGCTTCTGTGTGGAGATCCAATTGACGTGTTTGACCTTGACTTCATTCTTTCTCGAGTGAACGTTGAATGACAAAGAGAAAGAATTTGAATTGCCATGATTCATCATGTCACTTTTGTATGAATTCCTAGTACTCAAAAAGTCGGAATCAGAACTGTTATCGATATCGTTCTCAAACGTCATCGAGTTGATCTTCTGTAAATCACTCGCTTCAACTTCGCTGTAATCTTCAGTGTTCGATTCGTCGCTCGAGTGGAACACTTGCGAACTGCTGCTGCTGCTGCTGCTTTCGTCGGATGATTCTTCATTGTATTCTCCGTCGAACTTGTGAATGACAATTGACTCAGGTGTGTTTGATGTCAACGATATCGTGTTGTTATCGTTCAAAACGGCTATGCTGCCATCTCCAAAGTCAAAATCAACTGGTTTGCCATCCATCAACTTGATCCTCTTGGTTACAAAGATCTTGTTTCGTCTGTACTCAATTTCAGTAAGCCAATTTGAGGCGGTTGTTATCAAAATTTTATCGTCATGTTTTGAAAAAGTGAGGTTTTCAGTGAAGCCGTATTTGCCACCGATACTTGAAACATACGATCGTACCCACGATTGATTGACTAACCGCCAAACCGTTATGTCGTTATCGTCACATACTACAACGATATCTTTCTCTTTCTCAAGTAAGGTTAGGAATTTGCTGTTCTGAGTTTGGATAAATGGAAGTAGAATTCCTTTGGAAATGGAAATTAGAAATGTTGAGGTATTAGTTGCAAATATGAGGAAATCTTGATCATTTGGATAGAATTCACAGAAATTAACTACAATATCGCTGTTGTTGTTGGATTCAATGAAATTAAAGTTCTGGAAAACTTGAATCTTTGATTGCTTTATGTCATTTTCAATCTTAATAAATCCAATCGATCCGTCTTTGGAGGCAATGGCAACAATTAAGCCATCAATATCATCTTGTGTTATAAAATCAACAGATTTTAGCACATTTTCTGAAGATTTGGTCGAATTTGCATAAAAATCAAAACTTTTTATAATTTGAATTGTTTTTTTGTAAACTTCACAAATGTAAAGATGCCCCGACTTTGAGCCTGCGTAAAATCTATTCACTTTGTTTGATGACCAAAGAATTGAGATAATCGAATCATTGATATGTACCTTTCCGATTATTTCTTTTGTGAAAATATTATAAACTAAAATATGACCATCTTCTGATGAAACAGCCAAAATTGGCTTTGATATGCATGGTTGTAAATATCCATTTGCCCATCCAACTGCAGTGATTATTGTGCTTTTTAAAGGCTGCTTGCTTATTTGACCAACAGCATATCTTTCAAAAGGAGAAAACATAAACATTGGTGTCAAGCATCCTTTATTATCATTAGCAAAAATGGATAAACATCCTTTATATGTTGAGGCAAATAGTCCACATCGTCCCCATGAGCTTAAATGCTGAAGATTATTTGTAATCTTAAGATCT